CAGATCACATATGATTGCACATCGCATGTGGCATATGCTTGCATATGAAGCAATTGTGCATATGAAACACAGGTGCATATGTGCATATGAAGCATATGAAGCATATGAAGCATATGAAGCATATGAAGCATATGAAGCATATGAAGCATATGAAGCATATGAAGGCGACGAAGAAAAAAAAAGCGCGCAAGAAAAAGACGCGCGCGCGCTGGGGACTGAACCGGCGACTTGGTGGACAGATAGACGGACTAGAGCACGCTGTTCGCGCGAGTGGGCCGTAGCTCCGCAGCTGATTTGCATATAGCAAGCGGCCCTTAGGAGCACGGCACATAGTGGTCCGTGCAATGCAGAAATCAGCCAGCAACGGAGCTACGGCCCACTCGCGCGAACAGCGTGCTCTAGTCCGTCTATCTGTCCACCAAGTCGCCGGTTCAGTCCCCAGCGCGCGCGCGTCTTTTTCTTGCGCGCTTTTTTTTTCTTCGTCGCCTTCATATGCTTCATATGCTTCATATGCTTCATATGCTTCATATGCTTCATATGCTTCATATGCTTCATATGCTTCATATGCACATATGCACATGTGTTTCATATGCACAATTGCTTCATATGCAAGCATATGCCACATGCGATGTGCAATCATATGTGATCTGCAAGCATATACGATCTGCAAGCATATACGATCTGCAAGCATATGTGATCTGCAAGCATATACGATCTGCAAGCATATGTGATCTGCAAGCATATGCGATCTGCAAGCATATGCCAGATGCGATCTACAAGCATATGCCAGATGCGATCTGCAAGCATATGCCACATTCCATGTGCAAGCATATGCGATCTGCAAGCATATACGATCTATGCTATGCTGTGATATGTCGTACGCGCTATGCTATGCTACGCTATGCCGTACGCGCTGTGCTATGCTGTACGCGCTTGCGACAGCGCCGGGCAACGCGCAATCTGCAAGCATATACGATCTGCAAGCATATGCGATCTGCAAGCATATGCGATCTGCAATCATATGCCAGATGCGATCTGCAAGCATATGCCACATTCGATGTGCAAGCATATGCGATCTGCAAGCATATACGATCTATGCTATGCTGTGATATGCCGTACGCGCTATGCTATGCTACGCTATGCCGTACGCGCTATGCTATGCCGTACGCGCTTGCGACAGCGCCGTGCAACGCGCAATCTGTAAGCATATACGATCTGCAAGCATATGCGATCTGCAAGCATATGCGATCTGCAATCATATGCCAGATGCGATCTGCAAGCATATGCCACATTCCATGTGCAAGCATATGCGATCTGCAAGCATATACGATCTATGCTATGCTGTGATATGTCGTACGCGCTATGCTATGCTTCGCTATGCCGTACGCACTATGCT